ACACGAATGACGACTTTTATCGATTGGTAACTGCCGCCATAGATCTCTTGACATCAAGATTTTGTGTTTTTTTTTTTAAGAGTATCAGCCATTCTTAACTTGATAGATGGGTAATCATCGAAACTTGCTAATTCAGAGAAAAAAATCTTAAATGACAAGGAAAATTTGGTAAAAAAAAAAAAAAATATTATTTAAATAATGATTCGATCCACTTTGCGTTTAAACACGATGTTATGTAATATCGTATTCAATCGTAATGTCTTGAAAAAAGTTTCTGGTAAATTTTTAATCTTTTTATCGAAATACCATTTTTTTAAACATGTTAATTTCTATAAAACCAAGATTTAAACTTAGCTTTTTGTGAGAATTCAAATAAAACGAGTCTTAAACACCTTCAATATTTGATTTTTAATACCTGTAGGCTAGTTTTGCGTGGGTTTTGGCACATTTCACGGATTCTCGACGAATGCATAAATTCGACTATATTATCGCACACAGAGTAATAAATATGCTGCATCTCAATGTCGAAGTTTTACGATATATTTCATTTAAAAACTTATTATTATTTCATTGCATTACATCATTCTAAACTGAAGACGAACTTATTAGTACATATCGCATTTTTATTGAATACATTATTTGTTTTACAATAGCCGATAAAGATTTCCAAATTCTACTATAAATTACCTACTTTTTTTATAGTACTTGAAAATCCCAATATTAGATATAATTTCCCAATATTTCACTCAAGATAAAAGAAATAATGAAACCAATATAATTTACCTATACAAGCAACTCGTACAACAATAAAATATTTTTCAAACGGAAATATTCTCTATCCAAGAAAAGTAAGAGAAGGATTCATTTAAAAGCTTCAAGATTCTATTATAAAAGTTTACATGAAAATTACCAAGTCTGCAATGAATAGAATAGAAAAAAAAAAAAAAAAAAAAAAAAAAAAAACAAGAAAAACACTTCACCCATGAATATTTCCATCTCGTTACAAATCACGTAATGGATAGACAAGCATCACAAGCTATGGAGTAAAAGCGTCACCTTGCCAACAGCGATTCTGACTGTTGATTCTCCTCGATGATAACCATGATTTCCACTAGATACCAGACCTGTAATTTTCTGTGGCAACTTGTACGAGTGGTATGCAAACGAATGCCACCGCCTGGGAACATGAGAACCGCCCTTCGAGCCTCGCAACGTTTCCCATTTGCGATATTGCGCTTGTATTTCGATGGTAGGTATTACGAAAGAGATCGAGATGAGGAAGAGTCAGAGAATTATTTAATTCATTACGTCAATATTCAAATTCTTGGTGTCGTTCAACTTTTGATTTTTTGGTAATGAAACCTGGAGTATAGATAAATCGATAGTAAATAGGAAATGATTTAACTGAATTTTAAATGAATCGTTAAAAGAAGAAAAAGAAGAAGATATACAGACTACATCTAAAATCAAGTATAATACTTATTTACTGGGAATTGGATTAAAATAAAATCTTTCTTGTCAAAAGAGGTGTTCCAGGACCACCTCATCATCTCGGTGACGTGTTTCTAGAGATTTTATTTCAAGAAAAAAAAAAAAAAAAATTGCTCGTTAATTTTTGACAAACCCTTCACGGAAAGGGCGCCAACGGGTCGGAAAAATCCCGACGTTGGCAAGAAACAGCTGTCCCAATGACGAAGCTGGGAATGTGCTTAAAGGGGTCAAGGATCGGTGACGATGAAAACTGTGATTGTCACTTTCTCAAAAATTGAGTTTCGGAAAAGAAAAAAAAAAAAAAAGAATCACGAAAAACGAATTGGAAACAATTTCAAAGAAGCGTGAGTCAAGATTTTATATTAAAATTATTACGGTAGAAACTGTGATAAAAATTTAATATTATCCTTTATCAAAAATTTCAAGAGGTTTGCTACATGTTTAAATTGCAATAATTAAAAAAATTTTCGATTCAACATTTTCAGCCGGTAACCGAGCGGATGTTAAACATTTAACCGTATGTTTAATAATAAACTCGGAGATGAAGTACCCATTGGAGATGTTTGTTTCCCGGGAACGTGGCCGAAGAACACGTCGCATAGTGTTTCTTTTCATAGTAACGTCTAAGTTGACTCACGATCAGTGGGTCATGCAAACCGGAAGCGAGAAAACGATCGGGCCCATTAGATGGAAACGGATAGCCTGCGTACGAAATTAAACTCGTTTCCTCGAAACAAAGTCGCCTGGCTTTTCTTCCACAATCCTAAAATTCACGAGTTTCCTTTGCCTCTTGGAAGAAACGAAAACACTGAACCGCGGCTTCTCTATTTCGAGGACGATCCCTGACAGAAACTGTATGCAAATCTTGTTAAAAGAGCAAAAGATTTTGGCTTGGTTTATGAGACGCCGGTTTATTTTCTCGAATAAAATTCTGAAATTAAGTACGTAATTTTTTTTTTTTATTGTAGGCAATGCATCAAAAAATATTTGTTATTCTAAACTTACACGAATTCAAAAAACAATATATTATGGGTTAAAAAAATTATCCAAATATAAGGATATTCTAATATTTTTATCACAAATTTATTTTACACCAATTTCTTCTTCTCTACTACTAAAATTTAATAAAATATTGTATCATTTAAAACCTGAGAAAAAACGATTTATCTTCTTGGCAAAATATGATAAGATCCGATAATTATTACAATAATATTAATTTTAATTTATATCCTACAGAGTTTCCCTAGAAAAATTTAACGAGCAAATTAAAAAATGATCCATAGAATTTATTCGACGACAGCTATTCCGACAAACCTCCCTCCCTCCGTGAACTTTGACACGGTAAATCAGGAGCAGGCGTCGGCGAATCGCGCTCGCCCGCGTCCCGACGCCATTAATTTCGCCCGGAGCACGATGATGGAGCCTTGGGGGGGTTCCTATTTGCGACCACGCGAAAAGAAAACGCTTCACAGGGAACGCAGAAGGGAAAAGAAGACGAGGGTACGTGAACAGGCATCGGCGTCGCGAAGTCGCGTGTAAATTTATCTTCGCGCGAGTTGTACGCGCGGCTTTCTTCGTACACCGAACCCTTCTGTCGATCCTAACCTTTCAGGGGTGATCCACCAACTTTCTCGAGTTCGTTGCCACCGATCAACACTTTTATTTAAATACAATTTTGGCCAAGGATTACCAATACGATTGGTAAAAAGTGTTTGAATATTTGAGGATTAATTGTATAATTATCGTATATGATAACATTTGTATATGGATGATTAGATCGTAGATATTTATGAAAATTTGGTACACCGTGTATATTTTGAAGATTTTTGGACATTTAAATTTTCCATAAATTTACGGTGTAAAATAATAATTGCATTTCAATGTTATTTGTATATTTCATTTGTATATTCCTAGAATTAATGAAAATCATTTATATATACTTGCATTTTCAAATTGAAATTATTCTATATCTATATTATTTGATATTGATAAATATGCTTATTTTAATTTATTTTATTTAATAAATTTTAGCTTCGTTACTATATCTATATTATTTCTAATTGATTCAATCAAATTTTTCTATTCAAATTACAAAATCTTCAATTCTTACTTAATTATCTAATACCATAATGATATCTAATAATAAACGCAGGATTATTTTATTAAAAGAAATTCTTCCAATGCTTCCAAAGCAATGCCGATAGCAACTACAATATCGAAGAACGCTCGAAGCGATCGATTATCGTCCTTTATGGCGTGCAGACGTTTTCGCGCTATTCGAGAAAAACGATCTTGATCGGCATGCAGACGGAAATAGAGGGTGCGCGAGAGGAAAGAAGACGAAACGATCGTTAATGGCACGTAATACGCGTTATGGACGCAAATTACCCGGCGTAACTGTAATTTGCGCCTTTTTTTTCTCCACTTCCCTCCTCTCCTCCGTATCGTCATGATCAGGTTGTTTAGTTACGTAATTCTTGTGCAATAATTACCGATGTTTGAGCAATTGACCGCTT